GTAAACTGCCTGAAAAAAATTCCTCACACTCAATTTCTTCTACCTTTGTGTTTGCTCATCAGAGGCCTTTTAAATGCAGCTCCTAATAACTATCAGTCCAGGTGCAGTAAAGCCCAGTTTGTGTTGTATACTCACCGTATTTATCATCCTGCTCTGTCCACTCCGAGTCGAGCTGCAGCACAGAGACGGGCTCCACCTGTGGCTCCTTTGCCACATCCTTCTCCACGAAGTGCTGGCTCTCCTCAGAAAACTCTTTGCTGGACGGATGCACAATTGTGACTTCTGGAGTGAAACCCAGAGCAGCTTTCTCAGAGATCCAGTTCCATTCTCTTCCTTCCTCGTTCTCTTCCTCATATTCATCATCTGCCAGTGAGCCATCCCTTTCATCGTGCCTCCACCTCTCACCCTCAGGCATGCTGTCCCTCCATTTGACTTTGCTCTTTGTGTCGCTCTCAGCCTGGCTCTGCTCCTCTGACAGGTCTAGACTTCCTCTACTGAGTCCTGCATTCTTCTCTTCAGGCTCTGAAACTCCATTTTCTGACTGGTCTCCATCACTGATGTCCATCTTAGGTTCTTTGTCTTTGTCTACAGTCCATAGTAACGTGCTCAGCTCCACAGGACCAGAGCTGGTCACTTCCTCCTCTTGAGCTTCCTCCTCTTCTGTAAATTTGTTTCTTTCCTCAACACCGTTGCACTCTTGTAGATTTTTATTTCCTGCAATTTGTGGCTCTGCAGTTGGAGCAGCAGATAAAAGTGCCACATCTTCAATTAACTCTAACATTAAATCACCTTGGCCAGACATGTTTGTCTTTTTAAATTCAACTGTTCTCTCTCGATACCCGTTGTACTGTCAAGGGTCTTAGTGTTAGTAAAGCTTCCTCCAGTTGTCAAGAGTCATTTTTGGCCACATCTGTTGATTTCCCCTGTGAGAAAAAAGTTACAGCAATATTTAAATCCTGATTTAAATGCCCCAATCTGTCCAAATAGCTCAGAATACAAGACACTCAATTTACTTTTTAATTTGTCATACAAGACAAAAAAGCAGGAAATCTGCCTTTTTGAGAAGCTATTTTTGGCAATTTTTTCCTCAAAACTGATTATCAGCACTGCTACAAATGAATTTACTGTTTCTTAACTGATTAACTGAATAAACTGGGGCTAATCTGTGCAGAACATTCTACTGCAGTGCCAGATTTAATAAGTACAAAAAAGGTCACACAAAGCACAGACTTGGCATGACAGCTGCACAAATCCCTGGGCCAAGTGCTGCATCTCTTACGCCCTCATGTTTAATATACCAAAATTAAGTTCTCTTGAAAACTGGGATGCCAGTTTTAAAATACACATTTTCAGACAGAAAAATGCTGACAAAGAGGAGCTGTATTTACTAAAATACCATAGCCAAGTTGTCTCCTATATGAGACCAGTCACACTAAACCAACTATACAATCTTACTCCCATTAAAAATAAAATAACTGATTTTTTTTTTTTTTACTACAGGAACAATCACTGTACTGTATTAGTAAGGATGTTGCAAGCAGCTATGACTCAACATCTTATCCCAATTGTCTGTAAAGTGAGTATTTGGTTATATAAACACGGCTGCATTCCTAACACACGAGCCTAACTGGACTTTGGCATCTACAGCAGCTCAAGTTAAGGTGCAGTTGTGACTGTGAGCGCCATGGCTGGACTTTATCATACTTCTGACAACGTAGCGTTGATTTAACGTTTGAATTCTATGATGAGGGAGCTTTTCACTTTAAAGCCACATGCTCTATGTTGTAATTCCAAAACGGCTAGGCCAATAAATTAATGCCACACAAAGCTTTGCAAACACACAATTTGCTAAACAAAACACTTTTAAACTGTTTTGAAAATCCTTGTCAATCCCGTAAACACAGGTGTAGTTAGGCCCAGAGGAGCAGTGGCGTCCTTCAATGTTAAATCAGAACTACAACTTTTAACAAATCCGTGTTTACCACCTTGTCCTGATAAACATTTAACAGAGAACCTAATGAACACGAACGGTCTCCATACCTGCTGTATTTCACCGAAACAACCCGTAACTTGAAAGTTTCTATCTCCGCGGTTCAGTGTTTTGCCACAGGTAAAGTAGAAAGTCACCTGACCGGAGCGACCAGGTGCGATCCACAGAGCAGGAAACAGCAGAGGTATCACTCTGCTTCTATTTCCACGGCCCGAAAATGTCGCATCAGTTAGAGTTTTGGTCCCATTGTCAACCACGTCACAAACTGCATTCTGTAAAACTAGAGAGGTGAAAAACTATGATCTGTAATTCTGTTTGTGGAAACACTGTTGCGCCTTTGTTCTGTCCTATTCCATGACTAGCACAGTCTAATGATAAACAACATTTATTCTCTTAAGCTGGGCTAATTTTTGCTCTCAAATTAATGTGAGACCCCATTGCCTTTTTGCAGACTTTATACAGTGCCTTGCGAAAGTATTCGGCCCCCTTGAACTTTGTGACCTTTTGCCACATTTCAGGCTTCAAACATAAAGATATAAAACTGTAATTTTTTGTGAAGAATCAACAACAAGTGGGACACAATCATGAAGTGGAACGAAATTTATTGGATATTTCAAACTTTTTTAACAAATAAAAAACTGAATAATTGGGCGTGCAAAATTATTCAGCCCCTTTACTTTCAGTGCAGCAAACTCTCTCCAGAAGTTCAGTGAGGATCTCTGAATGATCCAATGTTGACCTAAATGACTAATGATGATAAATAGAATCCACCTGTGTGTAATCAAGTCTCCGTATAAATGCACCTGCACTGTGATAGTCTCAGAGGTCTGTTTAAAGCGCAGAGAGCATCATGAAGAACAAGGAACACACCAGGCAGGTCCGAGATACTGTTGTGGAGAAGTTTAAAGCCGGATTTGGATACAAAAAGATTTCCCAAGCTTTAAACATCCCAAGGAGCACTGTGCAAGTGATAATATTGAAATGGAAGGAGTATCAGACCACTGCAAATCTACCAAGACCTGGCCGTCCCTCTAAACTTTCAGCTCATACAAGGAGAAGACTGATCAGAGATGCAGCCAAGAGGCCCATGATCACTCTGGATGAACTGCAGAGATCTACAGCTGAGGTGGGAGACTCTGTCCATAGGACAACAATCAGTCGTATACTGCACAAATCTGGCCTTTATGGAAGAGTGGCAAGAAGAAAGCCATTTCTTAAAGATATCCATAAAAAGTGTCGTTTAAAGTTTGCCACAAGCCACCTGGGAGACACACCAAACATGTGGAAGAAGGTGCTCTGGTCAGATGAAACCAAAATTGAACTTTTTGGCAACAATGCAAAACGTTATGTTTGGCGTAAAAGCAACACAGCTCATCACCCTGAACACACCATCCCCACTGTCAAACATGGTGGTGGCAGCATCATGGTTTGGGCCTGCTTTCTTCAGCAGGGACAGGGAAGATGGTTAAACTTGATGGGAAGATGGATGGAGCCAAATACAGGACCATTCTGGATGGAAACCTGATGGAGTCTGCAAAAGACCTGAGACTGGGACGGAGCTTTGTCTTCCAACAAGACAATGATCCAAAACATAAAGCAAAATCTACAATGGAATGGTTCACAAATAAACATATCCAGGTGTTAGAATGGCCAAGTCAAAGTCCAGACCTGAATCCAATCGAGAATCTGTGGAAAGAACTGAAAACTGCTGTTCACAAATGCTCTCCATCCAACCTCACTGAGCTTGAGCTGTTTTGCAAGGAGGAATGGGCAAAAATTTCAGTCTCTCGATGTGCAAAACTGATAGAGACATACCCCAAGCGACTTACAGCTGTAATCGCAGCAAAAGGTGGCGCTACAAAGTATTAACTTAAGGGGGCTGAATAATTTTGCACGCCCAATTTTTCAGTTTTTTATTTGTTAAAAAAGTTTGAAATATCCAATAAATTTCGTTCCACTTCATGATTGTGTCCCACTTGTTGTTGATTCTTCACAAAAAAATTACAGTTTTATATCTTTATGTTTGAAGCCTGAAATGTGGCAAAAGGTCGCAAAGTTCAAGGGGGCCGAATACTTTCGCAAGGCACTGTAAACAAATAAATCTGCCATTTCCCTTCCACTTTACAATCAATAACCCATAATCACACTGTGCAAACAAACTGATGTGACAGTACATACACTAACAAATCTGAGCACCCCATTGTGCTTTTTCAGTAAAATGTTAAATGATTCAAAATTATCATTTTAGAACAAATGTTTCATTAAAGTTTAATTAGTCAAATAGCTGATTTTCAAATGGTCCGGATAAGCTTTGGCTGATAACTATTAAACTGTATTAAATGTACGGTATGTGTCTCTACAATTAGTTTTAAACTTTTTAAAAGTATTTGCACCTTTTCACGCTTTATCGTTGTATATTTGTAAAATTAGTTGCTTTACATGTGAAAACCACCCATGATATTACCTTATAGTCTTGTTTGTTAATGTGAGAGCATTATAAAAGGAGAAAATGATGCTTTTAAATCAGTAAGATAAACAAAGTGTATGTTATACATTTGCAGATCTTATACAGTGAAGTTTAAAAAAAAAAAAAGCCCTTACGATAATAAACCGCTAGGTATAGCCTGTGAATGTGCCTGCATTGTCAAGTTTTGTAAACTGGAGGTAAATAATGGAATAAAATAAAAATCATATCACACTGTGAAAATAAAACAACAAGAGCAACATTTTATTTTGAGACTAATCTCACAAATTATTGGCTTCTTCTTCAAAACACAAAATCCAAACTTGATTTGACTTCACAAGTCAGACAAATTCAATGTGATTTTTAAAACCTTAAGCCTCCACTTCAATCACCTCACTTTGTTTATTTATTTTTGTTTTTTTTTACATATAACTGGACACAGAAGCACAGTTTGGCATTTAGAAACTTCAGCTCTTCAACGTGGTCATAAAGGTGTTAATATCAGTAACACTGATGTATCACTCATGTCACAGTTTTTACACAAGGTGCTTAAGAATAAGTACATGAACATTTGTGAAATTAATTCAATCACTTGTATGACAATCCCATGTTCTAAAAGCAAAGGCTTCACAGCTGCACGGAAACATTGGAGAAATATGAAACAACTGCAAAGCAACAAGAGCAGGAACTAAAAAAGTGAAAGGTGTAAAGGGAAGTAGGGGAAGAAATCGTCAGGACGACTGTGAACTGCAGGAAAGCGTTTGATGCAAGTAACGGGTGGTGACAGGTCAGCCAGTGCTGGACAACTCCATCTAAGTCAAAGACACCGAAGGTACATTCAAAGCTTTGGCAATTAAGGCAAAACAAATACGAAGACATGCTCAGCTGTGAAATGGCACTGAGAAAATCCTGATATCATTTAGACATTTCATCTCCAAGGCCCAAAAACATAGAGAGCTGAAGTGAGTGGCAGCTTCTGGGTTCTGTTTCAGAAGTAAAAAAAAAAACAAAACACATATTAAAAACCTATATTTGAAATAATGCAAAACACTAAACATTCAGCCTGGGATCAGTCTTACTTGGCACTATTTTGCCTGGTTCCAATACAACATTTTG